GAATTCAATGTATTACAGATAACAGGACGAAGTATCACTTACTTTTCCTGCAGGATATGATTACTATGTATATTTTATAGCGGAGTTTTCTGAGCTAATTCACGTCGATAGACACAAAGATAGGCCTGAAGGTACGTCCTCTAGTGTTAAGCTGTCCAGATCATTCGGCAAACTCAATCGTCTCGCGTGCAGTGATGCTCTTGTTAAAGCGTTGGTTTAGAATCACTTAAATATTCCATTTTGTGGGACTAAAACGAAGGAGCAGTCAGTAATGAAAATATTGTGGCCCCGGAAATATTTTTTTTTCCGGGTAAATATTTCGCGCTACTCTCTAAATCTCTTCTTGAAAAGAGTTAAGGATCAAAAAAAAATATATAAACCAGCTGAGTATCCACGAACTATAAAAATGTACTCTGAAACGTCAAAGTAAAGGGTGCTTTTCCGCTTATCTTTCCGGGTTCGGCGCAATTAGCTGTACTGCGCTATAAAATATCTACAGGAATATTCTACGGGAAAAGCAAGAGATATATCTCGTTCTGTATTGAACATGAGCACTCCTATCTCCGCATAATGACATACCCAGAGACTCATTTAAAAATAATTCTTAAATAGAGGATATTCTGCAGTTACCAGTCTTGTTTCCGTACAGACGCATGCGTTGTATAACCCGTTGTCTTATTTGAGTTTACACTTAACACACTCGCAATCAGCCGGATTAGAAACTATACAGACAAGCATAACCACCGAGTAAAAATCGTCTGAAATAACGTGAAAAGTCTCTCATTATTGAACTAAAATCTCACCTCAAAGCTCCATTTCACATCAGTGCTTTTTTCAAATGTAATGTTCTATGAAATGCGATTTACATTTACCTGTGGTCGAGGCATTGATCTCCACACCGGAGAAAAGAAAGAGGAGTAAATGAAGAAAGTTTAGAGACATTTTATATTCTGATAACACGCTCTGTATTCTGCAACGATCACAGTATCTAACCGTATTGTTGGGCTGGTGGAAATGCCTTGGGCACCAGGAAGATAGAATGTGATATTCTATACTTTGAAACCTTTGTGACGTCACATGATCCGCACTTAAGAAATCAAAGTTGACAGCAGGCAAGCGTAAAATTAAATCAGTTAAATTCAATTAACCGAGCTGCTGATAAGGAAAACTAAGAAATGGGAGGAAATGTTGGTTTACACGCTAATAAGCATTGATCGACCTATACCGAGGAAAGAGCAGGCAACTATTAGTTTAAGAAAAATGAAAGCATTCAGAAACATCTTCTGGGTTGTACTTTTGTGCTATAGCGGAGCAGTTCATGGTGCATAAAAAGCTCAGCTGGCCTTAACAAAAGGATGTGTATTCGATTCATCACTAAACAAGCTAAAAATAACTTGTTATTTTAATGACGTGTGTACGGAAGAATACATGTTTATTTTCTATTTCAATCTTTTGTTTGTCGTACAAGAAATTAAAGAAAAAAACGCCGTTGACAGAACAGAACCAGCTGTAACTGCATTGGTAAAGAAGTTAACCTGTTTCAGCCCCGGGCCGCCGAGAGGAAAAACTGGGGGGTACGTATTAAACCGAACGCTAAATTTCTCCATTTCAGCGCACTCTGAGACTACTAACATATAATTCTAACTATCTCTTAAAGGATTACTAATACATGAATACGCATTGCCTACGAATTGAGTTTTAAGTTCCTATTCGAAACCGAAAAAACAAGAAGTTAAATGAGACTGTAAATGGGGTTTAACCAGTCTGATAGGTAAGAATTGGACAAGATTTGAACTATCAGCTGAGAGATGTCCTGGACTTTTTAACTTAAAGTTGAAATCTGAGCGGGATCTACAAAACTCACTTATAACTAGAAAATGAACTGAAAATGTGACTGATAACATAGATTCCAACATCCGCATCCAGACCCTCTTAAATTCTCCCAACTGACGCCCCTTAAAATGTACTGATACCAGTTAAGAGAAATTGCGTTTTGAAAACGAGGCTGGCATAGTCATTTGTCAGTCCTGTGTTTACAAGGCACTATCTACAGGTCCTTCATTTCCCTTGGCCACAGGCGTAACTTCCGGTCCAATGACGACCTTTACTTCCGGCTCAGGGGCTGCAACTTTGGTTGGACTCTGAGCATCCCCAACAAACCCCACGTGGGTTATCCCAACTTCCTCTGGCGCCTGCCCGCTCGCGTGCTCCTTTGGTGGATTCATGTATTCTGGATACATCCGCTCCCGGAAGAAGAAGTAGTAAATGGCAAAGGTTGTCACCATGATGCCAAGGATAGTAAGGATGGCAAATCCCATTATTTCCAGTCCTCCAATAGTCTTGGCTTTAGCGCTCAAATCTGACGTCGTGGGTTGTTTTGTGGACACTAAGAAAAAATAGCGTCAATTAATCAGGTCTTGTCTATATCTTATCTCTCTTGTCTATATAGATATTTATTTTTCCAAACACTCTTTCAAATGTTCACAAATTACTAGTACAGCTAATAAACTGCGCGCTTGAGTGATAGTTGAAAATTCTCTGAAAAGTTCACGAGCCTTGGGCAAATTCAAATTCAAAGAAGTTTCAAATGTCACTGATTATCGTTTATAATAGCTCGACCGTTCATGCGGTTACTCATTTATCGTTTTATATATTTATTTATCAGTAGTAAAACTAGCAACCTTTGTGGTATTATAGGTGTTAAAAATGGAATCCCTAAAATAGGGTTCCCACTCCACTGATAAGATAATCAATTTTAGCCCTGTTTATTACCACGTGCAAAGGAACAGTGAGAGGTACTGAGAGAGTAAATTATGCTGCCTACGAACACAACACAGTTACCCCAGCCTGGGCTCCAACCCAGACTGCTTTATTCGGCGTCCAGTACATTCAAAACCACTAGGCCACTGCACCCACATATAATATTATAGAATTTAGTTACCTTTGATGTTGCAAAACTTCTCTGCCAAGTCTTGGCGCTGTACAAGTTCATGTTGTAATGCGTCACACAAAGCCTGGTAGGTCGCAGCGGTACCTTTGCTTTGTTTCCATTGCTGTAACATCTGGTATCCCTTTTCAGACAGTTGTTCATGAGCTTGATCTATTTCTTGAAGCTTTGCATCACTGACACCTAGGCGACGCCCAAGCTTTTTCCAATCTTTTCCAATGTCATTACCCAATTTTTCTAATTCTTCAGTAGTAGGTATGCTGCTTATAACTACAAAGAGAAATAATTCAGTACAAATATATTGTTAATGTTGTCGCCGTTGCTCACAATACTCTAGAATAAGGTCTTCTTTTCTTAAATATTCAGCGGGGAAATAGGGATGTTGTGTATGTGAGGGTGGGAATGTGTGTGTGTATAACAATGAAAACATTTTAAGAAAATGAATTGTTAATATTAATGATTAAATTGAGGGAGTGACCTCTGTAACACAGCACTCTCCAGCTCAATTACAGATTAAAAGAAATAAATGAGATGAAATAAAATAAGGAAATGTTAATAGGTTAACTGAAAGCAACCATAAGTGTGAGATGGTATGATATGAAAAGCAAGGGGAAATAGGTTCCTTTTGGTTAGGTTCGGGTTTGGGAAAAGAGTATAAAGGATTTTTGGGGTTAGTTTTAGGTTTGGGAAAAAGGGCAAAAACGTTTTTTTGGGTTAGTTTTGAGTTTAAGAAAGAAGTTTCAAATATCACTCATTATCGTTTATAATAGCTCGAGCGTTCATGTGGTTACTCATTTATCGGTGTGATCGAGAAAATTACCAACGTACACTCATTAATTTGCACTTCAGAGCTAATTAAAATTTAACGATAAACTGCATGCTCTCAACATAGTTAATCAATTGAGGGGACTGGTTTTGAAGCCTGGCAAACATCAAAGGAGCAAACAAAGATGCCAAGATTAGTTGGAAGGTCCACGACACTATGCATGAATTACGTAACCAACACGTTTCTATTGGTTAGTTCCTCAGTACGGAGTAAACAACTATTGTGTTTTATGCAAGGTCAATGCCAAAAAAGCGAACAAAAACATACAACAAAGAATTTTGTCGGGTTTCATAACCATTTCCCTCTATTAACTATGCTCTCAACCGATCAAAATGATGTAAGTTTCTAAGATGTATTTAATAAAACAGTTCTTTTTTAACGAATTAAACAATCTTGAACTGGGGCAAAACACACTACAGTTGCTTAGTTTGACGAACAGTACGTGAATTTCTCAATTAAACGTTCGCAATATGAAATTTGTCGATTGGAAACCAGAAAAATAACTCTGCTGTCTGGTGAGAGTGATGACATGCCGTGTTTAGTAGGGGAGGAGAGAGAAGGGAGATGACTGAAATTTAGAAATGTACAACTTCCGGTCGATGTCGAAAAATGTTTACCAGGTGATGCAGCGGCGGATGTGATGTGCTTATGATGGGAGTGGGGAGGGGATGGTGGGGGAAATGTGACATAGAAAAGGAGGAAGGCAGGAGAGGGCACCCAGAGGAAGTTGACACCTGGACCACCACTGTATAATGTATATGACTTCGCCAGGGGTTTTCAGCAAAAATTGTGACTGTTGAAAGGAATTTGTGTACACATACCTGAAGACGATGATGGGGATGAAGTGCTAGAGGGCTGCAGTTGAACTGCAGAAGTACCTGAGACATGGGACGATGTTGACACGATGTTCACAGAGGACAGGGAGGGAGTGCGTGTCGTTGCGGGTGTCGCCTCGGATGTCGTTTCGGATGTCGCTGCGGGTATCACTGTGGATGTCGCCTTGTCTAATATCAATTAAAAATAAGTTAAAAAATACGTGAAAATGTAACTACACGAGACAAAATAAAGGTATGCTGAGGTAATTACAATCTTAGCTGACCTCAATGAGCCCCTGCGTAATGCGATGGTAACGATGTCTAGACAAGAAGAGATAGCAAGCAACCGAGAATGATGATCCTCCCGGTTTAAGTCGATCGGAGATTGATCAGATCTGCTGAAGATGTACACGAAAATGCCGACACAACGTAGAATTTAACTTGATTTTAATGAATACAATATCTCGGCTGCCCAGTATCAGCCTTCTTCAGATTCTTCCGTCTCTTATTTCAATTTGAATGCTTGCACGATAACTAAACAACCCAGTTTCTGGAACTGTCGGGGTCATTGAAAAAATAAATAAAAGAAATACTTTTGATGTCATGCATAACTCTTTCCCTCTTAATCTTGCTTTAGTTGCATTACATTAAAAAAATCGTTTCTCGTTTTCAATTTCATTGGACAGTGTTGGAGAAACAACACTGACCTTCGCTCTCTTCAACGTTTAGATATTTTTGGAACGCAATTAACTCCCGCCTATTGGCTACAGCTGGTCCTTGTTTCAATTTTTTATAATCTGTTCTTAATATATTTCGTGGAAGAGCAAGCAGATTTGTCGGGCTTTTTTCTGTTTTTCTATAGCTACGACCGGGGGGTCGGCGGAATCCGCAATCCGCTCCCCCTCCATAATGTCATATCGCGTGGTAATTGAAACAGCCGCCATCTTGGATCCGCCATCTTGATTTCGTTATTGCCTTTTTTCAAAAACGTCAGATCAAAAATGACTCAAAACCAGCCAAAACTCAGTAAAATAATAATATTTTAAAAAGTCCTAAAAATGAAATGA